GCTAAAGCCCTGAGGGGGAACATGCTGTTATCCCTCTGCGGAGGTCTCTGCGATGGTGCCACCTGTGGGACCAGGTTTGGGCCAGGCCACGTGGGCACTGGGAGGCCAGAAGCTAGAGAAAAGGGGGTTCCTGCCACTTTTCTTAAGTGTCGCTTGTCACGTGATCCATGGTTTGGTTCCGGATTTATGCTGTATGAGCCCCACTGAGTGCTGTGAGTTGGGGTTTCCTCCGTCCTCCTCTGATGAGGCCAGACTGGCATGAGCTGGGAATGTGCACCAAGAACAACCCCTCTCATTCCCATTGACAGAGGTGGACTCCCCTCCGCCCCACATAGCAGCCTCACCAGGCCCCTGAAACTGCTGCACAGACTCCCCACATGTAGTCGTGTGTGTGTCCCCACAAGCCAAGTGGAGGGACCTTCCCTAAGCAGAGTCCTTCCTTTCACAGAAGGCAGATGCTGCACCAAACCAGCACTTGCTGAATTCCCTTTTCTGCCTTAAAGGCACAGGACCCTGTCCGTTCTTCATCTGGCCTCCCTGTTGGGGGCTTGTAGCTCCAGCGCCAGTCAAACTGTCTGCAGAATATTATGAGTCTCCACCCAACATTCTGGAAGAAGCCAACGTCGTCTGCTTTAACGATGTAGTGCAGGTTCCCAAATAGAACAGCAGCATAAATTGAACAGCCATTCCTTTCCCTTTATGCAAGTCTTTCTGAATTGTTTATCTTGCTGCTGAGCACCTCCTTAAGAGGCCTGTCCAATGTTTGGCCTTCTTGTTGGTTCTCTGAGTCACGAACATCAAGAGCTGTGCCTGGGATTTGGCTTAGAGATGGCATATTTCTTTAACAGATTATTAACTATATTTTTCTGAGACCACTTCATGGTTATTTACTGAGAGGCCAATGTCCTGACGTGAGAATTTACCATATAGAACCAACTCAGAGTCTCCTATTGCTTCCATGTTTAAAAGCAATAATTTCACGAGCAGTTTGTTTTTAGGAGTACACTACTTTCACACATTCAAGGCTATGAACTGCTAGAGCCTAGACAGAGGTCCCAGCATGTGGGGTGGGAGAGCATTAACACCCCCCCCCCACACACACACACGGAGGGCTCAGTTGCGCTTGCAATTTCTCTCACAAACTAGGCATCCATTTGCTTTATTCAGGCTGCAGTCATAGTGGATGGAAAGATTTCATATGAGATTTAATCCCATACTTGGTTCCAAATCTGGATTGGGCTCCTGTGCCTCCCCTAGAGAAACCCCCGCCCTCTATTAGCCAAGTCTTTCAAGAAATGTATGTGTAGGGCCTGAGAAGCAAAGTTGATGTCTGCTCTTTGCAAGGGTGCCTGTGCTTTCAGATTACTATCGCGTTCTTTATGTGAGGCCATCCTTGCACTTTGTCCAGAAGCTGCAGTTGGTGCTTCAGGCCGAGACCAGGATGCTGAACAGGACACCTGGCCGAGTACACATTGCAGTGGTGTTGGACTGCTGATTAGCTGCCAAGCCAAGTCCGAGCAGTTCCTGGGCAGATGGCTTCCTGACAAGGAGCTCTGTAGGTGCTGAGACCATCAAAGGAGCTCCTGCACCCATGGCTGTCCTGGGACTTGCACGTGGCTGTGCAGCGGCTACCCCGAAGCAGGCCTTCTTTCTGGCGTGGCAGTGGAGAGGCGCTTTATTGGAATCTCCCCTCCCAGGATTTGGGAGCCCCGACTGGCTTATGTGCCTGTGAAGGACCCGACTCCACACCAAAGCCTTCCCTGATTGATGGCGCTGTCCCGTCTGTTTAATTCTTGTCATACTTTTGATCTTGATTTAAAAAAATGCTAAATATTTTAACTGATGAGCTTTTGCTTTCATTGTGTTGTGCTTTCATTTTTGACTGTAAACCACTTACAGATAGCTTAGAAATATGGTAAGCAATAACATGACTAATTCATTAAAGAAATAATTACTAATGTATTAACCATCTGGCCCTGACTCAGTGGCTTCTGCTTGCCACATAATCCCCATAGGGAACCTTCGTGTTAGATCAATTCAAAATCTAATTGCAGGCTATTTAAGAATGTATACGATGCAAAACAGAAGTTTTCTCAAGTGGTTTACCGTTAACATTATAGAAACATTTAAAGGCAATATCTAAAAACATTTACACTTTCAATCATCAGCGTAAGCCAATTTCCAGGCAGACTTTCTTTAAAAAGAAAACGTCACCATTAAAAAGAGATTACATTAAAGGTACGTTTGCCTGGGATTAAGTCCCATTAAATTCAATTACCAGGTTCAGACAACACGATAACTTGCACTCGAGGGTTATATATGGGTTGAATGTGGATTGTTGTTGAATTGTGGGCAATTGTAGTTTGATCCCAACCATGCTAACAAACCATGATTTTGTCACAACCCCCCCCCCCACACACACACACAGTGCAACTAAAAACCATGGGTTCATGTTTTTGCCTTGGGTTCAGACAACACAATAACCTACATTTCAAGACCAACCCATGGTTCAAGCCAAATTAAAAGGAGATGAGCAGAGATCTTTATAGGTTACTGAAAAGCAGACAAGCAGGTAACCAAACAGGGAGGCAGCTCCCTAAATGCCCACTGTACCAGCACACCTTCCGTCTCCTATATGTGTGTACAAATATAGATATAATTGGCATGTCCACAAACCGGTTCTTAAATTTGATTTTGTTTCCAGCAACAGAGCCCTGGCTTCCACGTAATCTTAAAAGAGCAACTGCTACTTGTCTATTTTTATTTTGTTTATCATATTGTGTTTTATTTAGTTGGCTGTAAATCTGCTATATTCCTTATCTGATGGTTGCAAAATCCACACAAATCACACACATGCATCTGCACAGACAGAATTTTCGACGCTCTTTGTATCAGCTCAGCTCAGGTACAGCTCTGGCACAGCAGATATTAGACTGCCCATCGCAAATGGCTGCCCCAAACGCTCATCCCTTCGATTTCTCCACTCTGCACTTGCTGACTTCACTGTGTTGCACGAGATACAAACAGCCATGTCTGTGGTGTTAAAGCTGCTGTGGCCAGATGGGTGAAAATGTGTGCAAGCATACGGTGCACAACCGTGGGGGATCCAGTGAGGGGCTTGCACGTGGGAACAAGTCTGGGAGCCTGCTCTGCTGCAGTTGTGGGAGATCTTTTTTCCCCTCATGACTTCTGTGCTAGGATTTCTTCACAGGGAGAAATAGTGTGCAAACCATAGAATAGTAGTGTGGGAAGGGGCCAGAGGGTGCTGGTGCTGGTGGGTGTACACTTGCACGCTCACACACAAATGCACAAGCCTGAGGACCCCTGTGCTTACCCCCCTCCCCCCCCCCCCGTCCCTCATCTGTGGCAAAGAAAGGTGTCCCTTCTTAGCATTAATGCTGGCACGGGAAACCCTGGGCGCTGCTACCATGTGGACAAACACTGCCGGCTCTGGAGGGCCCCCAGAAATGGCAGGCCAGCTGCAGAGGCCCCGTGGATCACGTTTCCTGCACCTCACTGTAAATAAATCTATATGTCAGCAACAGTGTCCCGCTGGCAACTGAAAAGTTCTGCTTTGTGAAATGGAACTCCCATTTACAAAGTTCAGGCAAGGGTTCTGAGGCACATCTCTGCCTTGTGGAGCCGATCCATCCTTCTGCTGGGGTTTGCTTTGGAGAAACCGTCATGACTCGTGACAGATTCGAAAGAAGCAAGGCTTTGCCGAGCCGTGTCTGCTGCTGTCATCCGACAAGCAACCTGTGGCCTACAGGCCGAGCTCACTGTCTCAGCTGGCTTGTCACAGGGAATCAGACAGCTGCTGCCGGATACCGCGGGCTGCCTTGGGCGTGCTCTGTGCTGTTAGCAGGAGATGACATGAACCGACTCTGTGCAAGAGTTGCAAATGGGCTGTGATTTCCCCCTGCTCTGAACCGGTGGCCTCCTTGCCCAGTCCTGTAGCCGAACTGAGCTGGCCATCAAGCCCTTTGGAAATATGTTGAAGAAGAGGTCGCTCCTGAGCGCCACACAGGAGTGACTTCCGACACAGAGAAGCACTGAGATTTCAGGGTCAAAGCACAAGACGCTGAAGTTGCAAATGATAAAATGAAGGAGCACCGTCTTCCATGCCAGCAGGGTGGGGAGCTTTCAGTGTACAGTTCTGGAGCTCCCCATATCCCACAGTGCATTCATGATTAAACAGCAAAGACGATGGTGCAGCATCTTTTAAGGATACCTTTTTGTCACGCACAGTAGTATTCTTTTATTGTTGTGTTCCTAATTGTTTTAAGATTCTTTCAATTAAGCTTTCACTTATTTTTACTTGACAAATTTATTCGTGTTTTGTTAACAGCTTTGAGCATTGTTGGTGGAAAGTGGGGGTATATATTAAAAAACTAAATAAGTAGAGAACCTGAAATGGGGGTGATGATGAGAAAACTGCCCCCCGCCCAGCATCCATTAATAGTGCCCTTGATCAAATCACAGCGCCAATGACAACAAACTGCTACAAGCTTTGTGATTTTTCATTTAGATTATAGTCTAAGGAACGGTGAAGTGAGGAATCCTCCTCCAAGGGATCTCGGCTGCGTTGTTCCCATTGTTTGCTTGTCCTGCAGTGCAATGCATACGCTGTGCAGTAATGGAATTAATTTGCTTGAACAGAGAGTGTTGCTTTGATTTATGGGTTTGGGTGGGCTTCTCAAGCGCTTGCACTCCTGTGATAGTTAGGTTCAAGGCAGAATGTAAACAATGTTCCTGAGATAGTAAACACTTATTAGTGAAAAGCTACTCTTGCTTCCTCCCTTATTTCCTTTTCCAGTATGTAGCACTTAATTACCAGCAAAGTGAGAATGCCTCATCGCTTCAAGATATGTTCCTGGAGCACTATTTGCAAGGGGCAGCAGAAGCAGCAATTCCATGCTTCCGAGCCAGGGGTGTGTCGCCTCCCCCTCGCCTCCCCCCTCTCACGATAAACTCAATGGGGGTGTCTATTTTTAACCTCCTGTTCTTTCCTTCTGGCAGAGCAATCTGCGTTAGCTGAGCTCTTTCACGGAGCGGAGCCAAGCCACCCTATCTGTAGCCTCCCGCAATGACCAGCAGACTCTCACAGCCACCAAAAGGGAACCTTTCCGCATAAAGCCAGGTTCTGCTTGGGCACCATGGCAAGCAGTCCCAGGCCAGACGGTCCACCTTCCACAACAACAGTTAGTTCTGTCCTTGTCCAGGCTGGTGACTGCAGAATTACCATAGCTATTCTTAAGGTAAGCTTAATGGATCTGGGACACTTACGCTGGTAGGTCTGCACCATCGACTAGCTTAGATTTCTATCATTTCTACTCAGATTTCTGCACATACAAGTTGATCTAGAGCAACCGAAAGGAAAATAAATCAAGAAAAGTGCTCCTTTATTGCCAAGGAAAGGAGTGGGAAAGTTGCTAATTAGTTCATGCTGAGTGAAATGTTTTAAACATCACTTAATCATCACCCCCAATATTTCTGCAGTCTAAAGTAAGGGGATGTTTTGCTTTCTCCGAAGGTATTTCACTTTAAATAAATTAAGCAAGCAGCAGGTTACTGTGTACAAGACCATATTTATTTACTGGCATTAATTTTTCTCTGACACAAAATATGCAGCTGTGCTTTTCTTGCATTGTTCAAGATTGTCTTCAGGGTATAGGTAGCGAATTGGTCTAACTTGGTGTGAGTGGATTATTTAAAGGGAAGCCTGAAGAAATAATTAATGCTTCTGTGATGCAGATCTCAATCCGCATTTTAGGATGGAAAAAACCTTACTTAAAGCCTTAACTGGAACAATTTAGCTTTACCCTGAAAAATAATTCGCCAGTATGCGAAGGAAAGAGAACCGGTGGCATCCGCTCCTCTTCAGACTTAAGTTTGCTAAAGTTTATCTGCTTCTGCATTCCTTCTGGATCGCATGGCAAAATTGGGTCTATGCAGACTTGGAGCAACGGATCTATGGAAATCAATGAGGCTTTGGAAGGTTCTGCACGGAACCTCTTTTATTGATGAGCAAAGCTGCGCTGACAGATTTTTTGAGTTGTGTGGGTTCATGCGCACATGTGCAACAGAGTATATGCTGTGTGGACATGCAGTCTGGTGCCACACACCAGTAGTGTGCATAGTGTTGCAGGAGTGAGACGAGGGGGAGGAGCTTGAAAGGTCACATGTGTGCATGCGCTTCTGTTTAGAGTGTGAGGACATGCCACAAAACAAAAGCTGGGGGACAGCCGGTCCCTTTTAAGAAAAGGTCCCAGGGCAGCATACAGAATGCAGGCTCAAAAAGAAATCATGCTGTCATTTACACCTGTGTCCCTCTGAAGGGGTGTCATGAAAGGGAACCGCCAAAACATCTAGAGATTTCTTGCCTACCTTTCTCATGAAAATCCATGCCAGGAAAGAACAGGGGAGGAGATGAAGAGGAAAGGGGTTTGGGAGAGGGAAGGAAGGAAGGAAGGAAGGAGGGTAACATGTTGCAGAGCGAGTCCAAAACTTGAATACCATTCCCACAAGGTATGAGTAACAGTGCCGCTTGAGTGAATCACACATGGTGTGGTACTCATGGAAACTGCAACTACCACTCAAAAACTATCCTAAAAATAGTTCAGAAAAAATAGGATATCCAGGGAGAAATATTTTCAGGCCATCCGATGAAGAGTGTCTCATGTGATATGAAACTGTGCCAACATTAGATTCCACGGTGAAACAGTAGCATCAGTTGGCCATTAATTTTGTCATGACTAACTGATGTCTCTTCGTTTGGTGGGTGTATTCTGATTCTGGATCCAACCTGGAATCTTTTACTAAGCCCTGGTATAATGTTGATCATGCCCACACAGAACCACTGTGCAAAGATAAGCAGAAATTGTCAATGTTTGCATTGCAGTGCGGGACGTGGGTGCAGCTCCAACTATCTGAATCAGTACCAAATTTACTAGAAATTGGCAGCAATCAAGAAGAGACCAACAAATTATTGCAAGACCATGAACTTCTCCTGGCTAAGCTTAAGGTAGGACATGCAGCGTCAACACTCTAAAATATCGCAGGTCATGTTATAGTTTTGATATGAATAGTGGGCTTGAGTCCTCAGCGTCCATCCTCCTGCAGCTTTGTGGAGTCTTGGGTTTTCTTCGTCGCTCTGGCTCAGTTCACGTAATTGCTGAGATCCGCAGGGCTGCTCTAATTGACAGGGGGTTGGTCTGTGGCATATTCTGGCCATGGTGGGTTGTGGCTCACGCCAGATTACGTCAGCATGTTCAGGCTGGCACTACAGCTCAGCGTCTCTTAGGGGTGCAGTCTGGGTGGACTGCTGGCATGGTTAACCAACTATCCACAACCCACGTGGTTTGTGGGTGGTGTGTTGACCATGGCAACCGTCCAGTCTCACCAGGTTCACACAAAATGGCCACCTGCATGCACCTCTTGGGGGTTAATTAACCCACTGAGACTTAGCTCAACAGACCCTGAGCAGTGCTCACCAAACGAGGCCACCGATGATGACTTTGAGCCATACAGAGAATAACTAAGGGTTGCGCTTCCACGCAGCCTGTCTGTATGTGGCAGCCACTGCTGCAGCTGTGGGCTGCTTACTCCCTGTCTGAGCTCCATTGCTTTCACATCCCGGCTTCCATGCGCAGGATTCAAGCCCAGGCCAGTCTTCACACCCTGCATGAAACATTAGCGAGAATTGCTCTTGCCTTGGGCCAGAGTCAGTGAGCATCAATGGATGAAGAGCTGACCACAACCACAGAGCAGGGATGGGTAGGACTGTGGTGAGCTTTGCCTGTGGCTGCCCTGGCGGAGCTCTTGCTCCTCCACGTCTGACTCACCGTGGCTACAATTCGCATGCCAGGCAGGCCAGCCGGGGCACCTCTGGCTCCTCTTCCTCCTGCTCCTCCCCATCGCCACTTCCGGGGCCGGAGCGAGAGGCGGGCGAGCCTGCAGCGGTGCAGTGGAGGAGAGCAGCAGGAGCAGGCCCAGGGGCTCTTCTCTGGGGCCCGCACAGGCGTGTGGGTCTCTTGGCACATGCCCAGCCAGGTCTATGGTGGGACAGAGAGAGATTGGGGGAAGTAGCGGGGGACAGCGTTGGTGGCAAGAGGTCATCCAGGAACCTTTTGAATCCCAAAAGTGAAGAATGAGATCTGGGCATTCAGGTTGTCGTCTCGACACAGTTGCCAGAGCGCTTGTGGAAAAAGAAAGGGACACATCATTAACGATTCCACAATAAACAAGGACATTTCTCTCACCCCTGTTTACAAGCAGTGCCATCCACCAGACTGGCCACGATATTCAGAGCCACAAGTGTATCTGGGGCAGACTGTTGTTTGGTGCAGGTTACTTCCACTGCACAGGCGGTGTGAGAAGTATCCATTCAATACATTTGGCATCAGCACATCACAGTCATTGTCTGTTATGTCTTCTTTTTTGGCCTGTACTATAATACGGTATGCTGTGCTATGTTATCCTAGGCAGTGCTGTTTCTCTGAGTAAAATAATTGCCGCATACTTTGCTGGAGGCAGAAACGTTTAACATTTTTATTTAGTGTACTGAAAAATTTGGAAAGAAACATTTCATTGCAGTTCAGTGTTGCAAGCGTTTGTGAACAGGGTTTTAAATAAGGATTAGTTAAGGAAGATTTGTATTGGTGTCCCTGAAGGTACCTGGAAAGAATGAAAAGGATCATTTGGAGGCGTTTTAAAGAAAAGCACACAATATTATGGGATCTGGCAGTATCTGGCTGCTGGAACGATTTATGTTGCACAAGAGGTCATCAGTGGAAGGGCCATATCAATGGCACTTGCAAGATGGTGGATTTCCTAGGAAGTTCATCCTGTTCGAAATATGGTTGATGTTGTACAAGGTTTCTGCTAGCACAAGAACTGTAAGGATGGACACTGTTGGATCTGTCCCAGTGTGAGATATAGGCATTCATTTCAGTGGGCTGCTTATGAGAAAAGGAAGGCCGGAGGAAAGTATGGCTTGAGCCAAGTTTTGAAGTGTTCCTGGGATGCGCTCATAGGTGGAAATGCTCTCTTTGAATTCGGGCTGGCCTACGGGAAGAGGGAACCACCAAGTGAAACTAAATTGGTTCAGACTGCAAGTGGGGAATTTAATGCTCCTTCATTGGGATGAGCCAAGTGATAGTGAAGGCCTTAAAAGGGGAGCCAAGTGATCAACCACACCACAGGAGACTTTACTATAAAGTGTCTGAAAACTGGGGAAATTGATAGGGTGGTGAGGTCTCCTTTCGATTTGGGCTCACTCGAAATTGTTCCTGTCCCTCATATATTTTAAAACAAAATAGAACCACATGGCATGTGGAAAGCATCCATGTCTGGAGAAGGTTCTAGGCTGGCGATGCTTGTGTGGGGAGCCAGTACTTCATAGAAACATAGAAACAGATCGAGTCAGAAGGGGTATCCCGGGCCATCTAGTCTGACCTCCGGCACTAGCCGGCTCCGCTCATGAGATGCCCACCATGTGGACGTCCAGCCTATCCTTGAACACCCGCACTGATGGGGCCTCAACGACCTCTTGTGGAAGCCCATTCCACACCCTTGGGGTCCTAACTGTCAGGAAGTGCTTCCTGGCATTCAAATTGAACCTTGGCTCCCTGAGCTTTGCTCCATTGGAGCGTGTCCTGTCTTCCTCTGCAGGGGAGAACAGGTCTCTACCCATCTCCATGTGACATCCCCTCATATACCTGTATGTCGCCAACATATCCTCTCTTAGTCTCCTCTTCTCCAGACTGAAGAGACCCAGTTCCCTCAGTCTTGCCTCATACGGCATCCCCTGCAAACCGGCCACCAACCTTGTGGCCCTACACTGCACTGACTCCAACCTGGCTATATAGTTTCTGTAATGAGGGGCCCAAAACTGAGCACAATACTCCAGTTGTGGGTGCACCAGAGTCGTGTAGAGTGGCAGTAATACCTCTCTTGATCTAGAAGCCACACTTCTGGCTATGCAGCCAAGGGTGGTGTTCGCCCTCTTGACCACTGCATCACACTGCTGACTCATGTTTAGCCTGCAGTCAACCAGCACCCCGAGGTCCCTTTCACAAGTGCTGCTCTCCAGCCACTTGTCATCCAACCTGTACTTATGACAGCTATTCCTATGCCCCAAGTGCAAGACCTTGCACTTATCCACAATGAACGCCATCCTGTTGTCTCCTGCCCACTTCCATAGTCTGTCCAGATCCTTTTGGATCTGGAGTACCTGCTCCTCAGTTGTGGCCACTGCTCCAGTTTTAGTGTCGTCTGTGAATTTGATCAGCAGACTGTTCAACCCTTCTTCCATGTCGTTAATGAAAAGATTAAACAGGACCGGCCCCAGGACAGAGCCCTGGGGGACCCCGCTTGTCACTGGCCGCCATTCCGATGATTCCCTGCTAATGGTTACCTTCTGCTTTTGGTCAGTCAACCATGCCCTAATCCACTGGACAGTGCTTTGGTGTATCCCAAAACTCCTCAGTTTCTCCACCAGGATATCATGGGGCACTTTGTCAAAGGCCTTGCTGAAATCCAGGTATACCGCATCCACTGCATCCCCTTCATCTAGCCATCTCGAAACCTTATCATAGAATTGCACAAGGTTTGTCTGGCAGGACCTGTTTTTGCGGAAGCCGTGTTGTGTGGCTGTCAGCCTCCCTTCCCTCTCTAGCATCACTAGATCTCTCTCTATTATGAGCCTTTCCATTCTTTTTCCTACAATCGACGTAAGGCTAACCGGTCTATAATTCCCCATGTCCTTTCTACTACCCTTTTTGAAAATTGGGATCACTGATGCCACCCTCCAGTCCTCTGGAACTTCACCCGTTCTCCACGAGGCCTCAAAAATAGAGGCCAGCGGGTGTGAGAGAACCCCTGCCAACTCTCTAAGTACTCTCAGGTGTAACCCGTCAGGGCCTGGCGCCTTTGTAATGTCCAGTGCCCTGAGGAGCCCCTCGACTTCAAGGGGGGTGACTCTAAGCTGTGCCCCTAAGTCCCCAGCCTCATCTAATCTCCTATGCACATATCCCTCGTCCTGCTTTGGGGAGAACACAGAGGCAAAATAGTCATTTAGCATCTGTTCCTGTTCCCTCATATCAGTCACTGGATCTCCTTCCTCCTTATTTAGTGGTCCCACCACTTTTCTCCCCTTCCTCTTCCTATTTACATGCTTAAAGAAGCCCTTCTTGTTGCTCTTGATATTCTTGGCAAGTCTCAGCTGGTAATCAGCCTTAGCCTTGTGACGAATCCTCTGCAACGGGCCTCCTCCTCCCAGTATACCCTTTTGTCTATTTCCCCCAGTACCCATTTCCTACGGAGGTTCCTCTTTCATCTAATCCCTCTAACTACCTCCTTTCACATCCATGGCAGCACTCTCCTCCGCCTCCCCAACTTACTGACTAGAGGTATCGTCAAGGCTTGCGCCTCCAAAAACCTCCCTTTTGAGTGCTATCCACCCCTCCTCAACTCGCTTACCTTCCAGTAACCTATCGCAGGAGACTTTCCCCAGTCTGGCCTTCAGTTGGCCAAAGTTGGCCCTCTTGAAGTCCCAGCTTCTAGTGCTTGACCTGCTGCATGTCCCCAGTCCCCTGATCTCAAAGCAAAGGATGATCACTCGCATCCAGAGCTCCCCTAATCTGTACTTCATCTATCAGCTCCTCCCTATTGGTCAAGACCGAGTCAAGGATGTTTCCCCCCCTCGTCGCCTCTCAGACCCTCTGTGTGAAAAACACTCCCTCTATAGCTTCTAGGAAGTGACATGACCTGGCTGTCACTGCCGAGTGAGTCTCCCAAGTACTATCCGGGAGATTGAAATCTCCCATAATTACTGTGTCTCTCCCCCAAGATATCCTTAGAATCTGGCCTGTCAGGACATCATCCAGGGTCTCAAGTTGACCTGGAGGGTGACAACATACCCCCACTGTCAGGTCTCTTTCCCTGTCAAAACCCCTAAGTTTCACCCAAACTGCCTCTACCGAATCCCCATCTGTGCTGCATTCTATCTCACTGCATCCTATC